GGTGGATCCATATTTACACTAGATTGGTTGCCCTGTTGGTGCTCGTGAGGCCCCCGTTCAATTCTTGACGCGCCTCGTATCCCTACCTTTCCATCCAAGAGTTGACACCCGGCGAGTTGTCATGACCAGATTCGTAAAGCAGCATGCGGCCCCAAGGTGAACCGCGTCCGTCTTCTCAAATATTTCAAAGGAGGAGGAAGAGGACGACGACGAGAAGGTTGGTGGTTCTTTGGGTTGATTTGTTGCCTTGGTTGAGTGGTCGACTGTCGTCGCCTGCGGTGCCTGCTATACCTTGACGGAGGGGTTGCCGGTCGTTGCTGGCAGTGTGCGCATTAATTTGGCAACGTGTCGATTGACGACAGCGACAGCAGTCAATGTCAAGGTCTTTGCGACCCGTCGCTCTGGGAGCGTCTCGGAGGCCTGTCTGGGCCATCCCTGGGGCCATCCTGGAAACCATCGGACAAAGCAGGGGGAGTGCTCAAGTACGGCCCCCCCGTGTGGGCCCAAAGGTAGGCCTTTGGGGGCCCGCTTGGGACGTTCTTGGGCGCTCTTGGAGCCGTCTTGGGGCCCTCCTGGGCCTCTCTTGGGGCCATCTGGGGGCCATCCCGAGGCCTGAAGAGCCCATCGGAAGAGAGAAGGCGAGACGGCAAACAGATAGACAACACACAGCGGTGTTGACCGGTGTCGGCCTCCGGGGGGGCCCCTGTGGAGGTTCGGCGGGCATTTCGGGCCGTCCTCGGGCGTTCTTTGGGGCTCCTGTGGGCATGCTGAAGGCTGTCTTGAACGAATCAGCATGTGAAATCAGAAGCGATCGTGTAGGCAATCTTAGGCTCGCTGGGGCCCTCTTGGAGCAACCTGGGCCCAGCAGAGACCCTCTGAGACCTCTCTGGGCGAGGCTTGGGGGGAAAGGGGGAGCGGGAAGCCCCTCCCCGAAGGAGAAGAAGGGAGTTAGCAGAACGAGTTCGTTTGACCACTCACTCCATAAAAGGGCTGGTGGGAGTAGCTTGGCGAGTGGCCCACGCCTTAGCAGCTTCATGCAGCGCTGGTGATGAATATTCTAGATTCACGGCCCGCGTGGAGGGGATGCGCCGAATTGGGTGGGGGGCGGCACTCGAACATTCCAAATGGGGCCACAGTGGAGTTTCCTAAATGGCGCGGGGCGTGTGGTGGGTACGCCGAAATGCGCGGGGACACGGATGCAAACTTTCCCAGTGTAGCCTCGCGTGAGGGATGTGCCGAAAAAGGTGGAAGCACGCATGCCAGTGTTCCTGCGGCGGCCGTATGTGGAACTCCTTCTGGGGGCGCGACCCTCGTGAGAGATGTGCCAACATTGGCGGCGCGTCCGTGCTGACCCTCCCGTGTGGCCGTAGAGATCCCTCCCTACGGGTCCACGATCCTCGTCAGGGGTGTGCCGACACGGACGGCGCCGCCAATTCCGACCCTGCCCTCGGCCGTCGGTGGACCTCGCTATGGGCAGCGAACCTCGTGAGGGGTCTGCTGGCATGGGCGACGTCGCCGAGCGGATGCTGCTGCTGGGGCCGTATGTCGAGTTCCCCAAGGGGCACGGAACGTGCGGCGGGGGGGGGGGGCCAAATTAGGGCGCGGTGCCGCCACACGCAGGCGCCCACTGAGACCGTCGGTGGGCCCCACTATGTGGCCACAAAGCGTTCGAGGGGTGCGCTGAAGTGGGGGCGCGTCCGCCACACGTCGGCTCTCATCGAGGCAACAGGTGGAGCTCCCTCTTGGGCCACGGAGCGTATGAAGGGTGTGACACACTTGGGTCTGATACGTCATGCGTCGGTGCCCAGTGGGACCGTAGGTAGAACCATTCTGGTGCCATGGGGCGCGTGAGCGGTGGCTTGGTACGCCATACATACGTCGTCGCCCCCTTGAGACCGTATGAGGAGTTCCCATTGGGGCCACGCAGCGTGTAAGGGGTGTGCCGACCTGGGGCCGCGGAACACCATGCGGTCGGGCCCACTGAGACCGCAGGTGGAGTTCCCTTGCGGGCCGCGGGACGTGTCAGTGGTGTGCAAGATCGGGGGGGGTGTTCTGCCAGGTGATCGGGCCCAGTGAGGCCGCGGGCGGAGCCCCCTCTTTTGGAGCCACGGAACGTGTGGGGGGCGTGCCGGATTGGGGGTTGGAATTACGGCGCTGGGTGGAGCTAGTTGGTCGACCCGACGAGAAAAGAAGATGTGGTAACTCTGGGTCGTTTTTTCGAAGATTCGAAAGATATTCGACCATTTGTTTTGAGAAACCAGCTTTTTACTCCGAGCATTAGTGTCTAAAGTTTCTTCTGCGAGCAGCCGGTCGCTCCCAGTTGGGCTGTAGGGTGGAGCCCTGCCTCGGGCCGCGGGGCGTGTGTGCGGTGGCTTGTAGAGTGGAGGCCCATGCCAAGAAACACCCTGCTTGGCCTCCAGGGTGCCCTGGGTTTCTTGCGCTTCGATGGTTCTGCGATGGGAAGCGTGGCGCTCTCACACCAAAAATCAGTGGACGTGCTGGGGTCTCGGGGTCGGGTTTCTTGTGGAAGGTTTCTTGTGGACGTGGCCTCCACTACGCCACACGGCGGTGCCTACCGAGGTCGTAGGTGGAGCTTCCAATGGGCCCACTGAACCAGGGATGCTGCCTGCCGATTTTGGACGCGAACCACCATGCCTTCTCCTCCCTCTCCTCCTCCTCCTCCTCCTCCTCCTCCTCCTCCTCCTCCTCCTCCTCCTCCTCCTCCTCCTCCTCCTCCTCCTCTTGATCTTCTTAGCCGGCTCTGCGTTTCACCCTCCATTTCGCGTCGTTGCTTGAGACTGTGTTCCTGCACACGTGCCGGACGGCGCATGGTTTGCCAGTGTGAGCGAGTGAACCACCATGTTGCCGGGCACGTTGAGACCGCAGGTGGAGCTTCCCATGGGGCCACGAAGCGTGTGAAGGGTACGCCGACTCGGGGGCGCGTGCGCCAAGCGGTCGGTCCCATCGAGGCCGCATGTGTAGCTCCCTCTAGGAGTTGCCACAGCGAGAGTTGCGGCGCTCTGCGTCGGGGGGTGCGTGGTCTTTCGGGCATTGGTGTGGTATTTCTCATGCTGGAGGTCGGCGGGCATGCAAGCGTCGTCTTCCCTGGGCCGACTGCTGTCCAGGCAGCTCCCATAAGGGGAACCTCTTGAGCGGGATCCAACTACGGTCGGACCGAGGCATACGATCGAGGTCGGCTCGAGGAGGGTACCCTAATGTTGTTCGTGATTGTTGGATGTTCTTGTGCATCCTGGGGGAGGGCACCCTCGAATGTTCTTCAGCTTGGGCCGGCGGATGCTCTCATGATCTTGAAGGCTGTTATTCTGTCCCAGGTCCGGCTGTACTTGGTTCATGTCAGAACTTGGATACCGCAGTGCCATCTCTCAGCAGGGGGAAAAAACACAGACACAATGAAAAGTAGATTCATTGGAAAATATCAGAAAACATGGGACGTGGGTGGAAGACAAACACCTAGAACATATGGGGAAATATTGGGGATCTGGTTAATTGTGTCTATCTATATTTGTGTGCCAGCGCCACTTCAATCTCCCTTCGCCCCCCTGTGCGCGCGTCGCTTGTCCAGGCGGCCGCTTCGCGACCTGCTGGTAACACACACGTGCTCGCGAAGCTCACGCCCGAGGGCAGGCGGCGGCCTGTCGTTTTTTTTTTTGCTGGGGGGGGCCGACGCGGTGCTCTCGTGGAGCCAGCCGGTGGCGACCGACTTGGCAAGCAGCAGCCAGCAGAGCTCGTTTCGACGCCTTAGGTTCGACTTCAATGGCCTCCAATTCTGGTTCGATGCGACCTCGGCTTCCGACCTGGATGCCGACTTCCCAATTGCTCACTAGTTTAGTAGCTTAATAGCTTTATTGCCTGCCGATCTCCACCGACTCGACTTCTCCCGACTCGGCAGCCGATTTCCGCCGATCCGATTCATGCCGATCGCCGATCCGACTTGTCGATTCGATTCTTGGCTCTGCTGGTCAAGAGCTCTATCTTGGTTCAGGAGATGCTCTCACAACCTCGCTCTGGTGTTGGGTCCTCGCCTCCTCGTCGCTGGGCCGCGCTCCCCCGCCCTCCTCCTTCCTGCTCTCGGCTCGCTTTCTTCATCCTCCCCGTGCGTCTGGTGCCGCCACTGCTGCTGCTGCTGCTGCAACTGCTGCTGCTTGTGCCGCATTCGTGTCCTTCGCACTCCAGACCTTATGTAAACGATACGATGCGAAACAACCTATTCGACTGGGCCGACATTCGCGCGTGCGCGTCCTCATTTTCAACGTGGCGTGCCGCGCTGGCTGCTCGCGTAAGCCACCGCGTAAGGAGGCTATGCCAGTTCGCCTAAGACCCGGTTATTGATGTCGATCACATGGACCTCGTGAGCACCGAGGCAGCCGAGTCAAATTCGTTACGACACGTCCGTCGAGCATTTCGTGCCCCATAGGGAGCCTCAGCTACGGCGCCAGTGGGCGCGCCCGCATGCACACCTGGCGCCCAGCTTGCAAGCGGCGCCACTGGGAACCGCCGCAGTCGCACCATCATCATCATCATCATCATCATCATCATCATCATCATCATCATCATCATCATCATCATCGTCTTTTCAGCACCATCCGTAGCCATTTGGAATCAAGGTTGAAACGTTCGTCCGTGGCGCTTCGACCTTGTTCAGATCCGACGGGGAGCTCGAGGTGCAGGCGCAGCGACCTGCTTGCTTTGCTGTGCTTGTTGCCGCCCCCCATTCCGTTCGGATCTCCAGCGTTCGGGGCTGTGTGGCCATAGCTCCCGCGGCTACCGATGCTGCGATGAAGGAGTTGACCGTTCAGGTGGCGAATAATATTGAGGCCCCCACAATGGTATCGGTTCAGGTTCGTGAGCTTGCTGCCACCATTGTTGCCATGCAGACGTGTCTGAAGCAGCAGGAAGCGAACATCGCTAATACTGAGGCTGAGATTCAGAAGCTTCGAAGCATATACAGTATGGGTTTTCCGTCTCCCCTGGCTTCCGAGGCCGGTTCAAGACGTTTTGTGGGTCGTCTGCATCTCGCGGTGAAAATCCGGATTCCGTGCCCAAGGCCATCGAGGTTGGTTTCGGGTAAGAGTTCACTCGGAAGGTCCTTCATGATGCGGGGGTAGCCATTCTCTCTGCATATGCCGGTGAAGAAGTGAAGCCAGCCATGAATGTGACACCCCAGAATTTGTTGAAGAAAGTCCGTATTGCGTTCCCCTCGGCGGATGCGGCAGAGCGAACCTTGATGACGTTTCGGAAACACTTCCCCGACGGTTTCGATTTCCAGACCCCGAAATTCCCCAATACGCTCCGTTCGAAAATTCTCCGCGATGCTGAGACGAATAAGCAGTTGACTGTTTTGGGTAAGGTCCGTCGTGGCCTCGAGGAAGTTGCGAAGTCGTCTCCCTCTCTGAAGGACTGGTATATCGGTTCTTCGGTCAGCAGCGGATTCATCTTCGCGTTGAACGCAGCATCGGCGGATGCGGCGAAATTTTACCACGTCTCCAAGCCTGCCTCTCCGCCCGACCTGCCTCGTGTGATTTCGTCTGCGTGCCATTTCGCTCAAATCGGTATCGGTGACAAGCATCAGTCAATTGTGGATAAGGTGATGGGCCAGTTGAGCCATTGACGGTTCTCTGTATCCAGCATCTGAGGGCGCCCCGCCCGGGGCCGGGTGGCGCGCGCGGGGCGTCGTCCCGCCCCTGCGCGCGGGCCGACGTCAAGAGGCGCAATTCGTTCTCGGCGAGATGGGCGGCGCAGCTCCCCCCCCCCCCGCCTCCCCGCTGAAGAAACCTCCGTCAGTCGTCGCGTGGAATGCGAGAGGTTTGCTTGGGGGCGTTAACCATGTGAAGTGATGGGTTTGCTTTGTTTGGCGCATATTGACGGGGCTGCTTAAGAAGCACATGATTGCGCATTTTTTTTGTCCGCGAGTCTCGCGGGCTCTTTGGGGGCATGGTCGCCCTCGAAGAGGAGTTCCTGTCGCGCGAGATGCTCCTGGGTGATCGACCTGGTCGCGCTCCTGGGCATGGGGTCTTGGTCTGTACCGGCGCGCCTTTGGCGGGCATGTTTTCTCGCTTCGCTCTTCTCCGGAGTCTCCAATTCCAGGTGCGGCGTCGCATCTGCTGGGATGGGGGCGGGGGGGGGCCGGTCGGTCGGGGGCCGTCTCTGCCCGCGCGCCGAATGTCGACGCAAGTTTTGGTTATTATCGGGGGAGCGTAAGACCCGGGTTTGCCGGGACTCGGGTTCGCCATCGTTTTTCGACGACCGCGACTCGGATTTTGACGAGGAGGAGTTTCGTGGGATGTCTGCAGCGGGAGGCCTCGTCAAAATGCAGGCTCGGCCTCGTCATTTTTTTGACGACCTCGTCGGGGATTTTCGAGTCCCCCGTACCCGGGTCTTACGTCTCCCCGATATTATCGCCGCTGTATCTCGGAGGTGGGCCCCGCTCTACTCCCATCCTCTGATGCTCCTCGCATCCTGCTCGGGGGCTTCAATTTCGCCCTTTGCGATGAGGGCTGATTCAATCTTGACGCAGGGGGCGCCAGTCGCGGGCGCTCCGCCTTCCCCCGCGAATGGATCGATTAATTTGGAGGCTGGGCTAAACTGCATCCGCCTCAGGATACGCGACGCGCATGCTCTGGCCCGAAGATAGCCCCTACCGCTCGTCTCGACCGCGTCATGCTGATCTCCCTTCTGCTGTTCTTGTGGATATTGCGGCCACTAGTTCGTTGATCGGCATGCTTAGTAATTTGCCGATGCCCTCTGATCACGCTCCCGTTGCGCGTGCCATCTCAACGAAACCTCGGCTACCGGATGGCCGACCCCCCCCCCCTGTTCTTCCCTGAGCCCCAACGACGTTTGAGTTCCAGGGTGTTCTGGATGATCACCTGCTTGGGAGTGATACGAGGCCCCAAATCTGACCCGACTGCCTCGCACGAAAGGCGCCGCGCACGAAGCGCGCGCCGAATTCGGGGGAGTTCCGCCGTTTCGCGGAGCCATGTCTCCTCGTGAGTTTCTTCACCGGTGCATTGTTGCTCCCCGTTCCTTTCGCGCTCGTGCGCAGTATCCTGTGGCGCGCGCCGTTCGCGCCGATTTCCATATCTCGACTTTTTCTGACATCTACGCTGACACATCCTATAACCCCGCGGGGCTACGCGCGCACATTGTTGCTCTGAACAACCAGATCTTGGATGCCGCGAAGGAAGCCGCGCAGCATTTGGGCGACCTTCCCGAGCACGAAGCTGCGCGCGGACGTGCACGTACTACGCGCAATCGCGAGCGCTGGCGGCATATCAATACGTCTGTGCGTCTTGGGAATATCTTTTCCGTGGATTCGGGCGTTCCGTGCTCATCGGTCCAGCGTGCCGGCAACGAACTCGCTCGTTTCTGGGGCCGTGCGTTTGCCGCGCGCGAGCCCGACCGCGCGCTTCGGGGCGCACTTCGCCAGTGCATTCGCTTGTTGCCCCCCGACATGGAGCGCGCGTTGCCTCGCGAAGAGTTTGCAGAGCTTGCGGGGCGCACTGGGGATTCAATGCCTGGCATATATGGTCTGCCGCACAGTTGTTGGAAGCGCGCAGGTGCGCAGGAGATCGGCGGAGTGGAAGTGGGATCGGCAGAATCGCTTGTTGCTTGCAATGCGCGGGCTGCGACTGCCCTCGCCCATGCGCCCCCCAGCACCGCGGCCTTGCCCCTTGTCTCTTCCAGTGAGAAGATCGCGCCCTGCAAGCTACCCACCCGGGCTCGCGTCGCAGTTCCAGTGTCGAAGTGATGTATTCCTAAAAAGGCGCTGGACGCAACGCGTTCTGCCATTCGATTGTTTCATTGCGGCCATGGGTTCTAGTGCCCGGGGCGAATGCGCGGAGGCGTTGGCGGAGATTCGCGACTCTTCGAATGACCTGGCCCCTCCCAGATTGGACACAGGGCGGTCTGCAGACTCGTTTCTCTCGCGCATGGCAGATGCGGTGGCTGATCTCTCCCAGTCGGCAGCCGCTCCTCGCCCTGATCCAGCGCCGATTACTCAGGCGAGGTTGGTCAGATGTTTGCGCAACGCTGCCAGGCCTGGGGCGGTGATGGGAGAAGTCCCTAGAAGTGTGTTGAAGTGGCCCCCTCTCCCGCTCGACAGCCCCGCATGCCCCCCCCCCCCGATGTTTCAGGTTCGGCTGCGTAAAGTTCGCCGTTCCGATTTCGCGTTTTTCGTTGCTGCCGCCCTGCGGGCCCCTTGCCGCGGAGTTTTGACCTGCGCGAGGCTTCGCGCTGATTTGAAGCCGCGCCTATTTGGTTGTCGCCACTGCCGCGATGACCAGTGTCACTATGTCCAGTGTCCTCGTGTCCTCTCTCCCTTCTCGTCCTGGGCTCCTCTTGTCTGTCGCCCCGGCGTTGCTTTTCCTTGCCCTGCCCTGCGTTTTGCTGGCGGCCGTGTGCGCCCGATGTCAAACGCGATGTCGCCGTCTGCGCCCTGGTCGGCAGTTTTGCGCACACTCGCAGGCAATTTCGTCTTCGGACTGCTCTCGGTCGCGCGTATCATGGGCAAGTCTTCTAGGGCCGTTTACGCATGCTGATGTAGAGGCATCCGGCGATTCGGGTTGCTTTCAGTATCTCCGCAACCCTGGTGGTTAGTTGCCCGTTGTTTCAGTGGCCTTCTTTTTCGACAATCGGTCCTGTGGTCCGCCTCCCTGCTCGGTCCGTGGGCCGTCTTTCGTTCTCTAGTTATTTTCCTTCTTCGGTTCTCGGGCGAATTGGCCGCTGCTGCTTGCTCCCTCTGGGGCTCTTGGTGCTGCCTTTCTCGTGGAGCTGAAGTTCGGTGGAGCCCGCGCCGCCGACCGCCCGAATTGCCCCCTTGTCGAATGGGTTTGAGTACCGCTCTGGGTCGCGTTGGAACTCGGGCCCCATTGCCGACTTGGGGTAGCGGTCTTGTGCGTCATCCCTTGTCGGTTCTTCGCTATCAGTGCTGCCTGCGGCCGTGCGCGAGGTCGGGACACGCACAAGGAAACTTGCCTGCCCGCCGACGCAGCTTGTCCTCACCAGCCGCCTCGAGACTGCTCCGGTGGCCTGCTCAGTTGCGAGTTTTGGCCTTCATCGATCGATTGGCCCCCCCTCAGTCCTCCCTCCCTGCTGCCGCTTGCTTGCTGTCCCGCTTGGCGCCCGCCCAGTGCGGTGGTTTGGCTCCCATGGCGCCAGAAGCGTTGACTTGGTTACGCATCTGCTTTGATTGAACGTCCGCCAGACTGTGCTCTCCAGCTGGCATCGGACTTGAATGGATTCCTCGCAAATCACCGGTCATTGCAATTGTTGCGGGGAAACTGTTTATTCTTCCTCGCCATCATCATCATCATCATCAACAACAGCATCAGCATCGTCACCATCATCAGCGTCATCACCACCCCCCCTACCACCATCACCATCGTCATCATCCGCATCATCGGATTCCTCCTTCGCGCGCAGCCCACAGGCATAGCTCTCCATGGCAACTACGTCGGCGGTGGGGTTTCGAGCAGTCACTCGCAGCTCGTTTTGGTGCGCGCCGCAGTTTCTGTGAATGTCCCACACGGGGCCCCCAATACGGCGCCCACAGACGCGTCAACATTCTTGCCTGGCCAGTTTTGGCTACCCCGCACACTAAATTCCCCAATGGGCTTCAATTTCGGCGCCAACGGGCGCGCCCGCACTCGCGCCCAATACTTTCTGGGACGACCGGCGCATCCTTGTTTGTTTCCAGAGGCACCTGACTTGTTTTTGCGGCGCGCCTGTCTCGCTTTCGCGGCTACACTTGCTGCGCCAATGGGCACGCCAGTATTCGCACCCGCGCCCTGCGGTAAGCTTTCCCAAGGTTTTCCGGTTGCCTCGCCAACGTTCAGAAAGTCGAGGTGTTTCGCATGTGCGGCCCGCCCCATCAGCTGTTCGAAACGCCTACTACTACCCAGGGATGCCCATATCAGCTTTCATGGAACGTAAGGTGGTTCCAGGGTATCGAAGACGCCTACGGCGAGTCACCGCCGCCCCCTGCCGGTTGGCGGGGACGATGTGGCCGAACTTTGCGGCCAGAGCTCGTCCAAGCTATCGGACTAGGTTTCCCCCAGCCGTTTGGAAACCCTTCGGGGAACACGCGGGGGAGAAAGAATAACCATAAACAGAACAACAGGAAGTTATGGACAAAAAATAAAGTCAATCTTGTGCCACTGGAGCGGCATAGCCAGTGACCTGGGGATTTTGTGCAGCTCTCCGGGTGGGCGGCGGGTTGGGCCGAAACCCCAGGGGGAGTTCTGTAGACAAGAACTAAACTTGCCCAGACGTCCAGCACGCCGTGCGCCCTTATGGTAAGACCACAGTGCGCGGCGGTTCTAGTGGCCTCGGCCCATCCCGCCACCATGTTCGGGTTGTCAGTTTGAGGCCCGTCGGTTGCCTGTGAGGATATCTTGGATGACCGTTCGGAAGCCTCTTGCAGGCGGTTGTGGCTGTATTTAGTGGCGTCTCGCGGGCTTCTTGGTGGCCTCTTGGAGGCGGAGGGCTCACAGTATAAGTTCATATTCCCCCTCTTGTGGACCTCCTGGGTGTCTGGGGGCCTCTTGGGCCCCTCGTGCGGGCTCCTGGGCAGTTGTGAGGCGACCTTTGGCGCCTCAGTGGCCGTCTTGGACGCCCTGAAGCCCCAGATGCGGTAATGCTGAAGCAGGTTTGTTTGTTTTGTTAGCCAAAACAAACACACACACACACAAACACACACACACACACACACGCACACACACACACACATTTTGGATGTTGACGATGTTGGCTTCCTGGGCTTGGCATCGCTCTGAAGGGTGCATTTCTCTTTCGGCGAGGACGATCGAGGAGCATCCTTGACCATCTGGCGAAAACAAAAATCACGCACGAAACCGACAAAAAAACACCGGGAATGGACGTGCGAGCGATGGCGAGTGGGCCGCCCTCCATGGCCCCCAAGGCGGCCCCCAGGAGGCGCCCCGGACGGCTCCAGGACGGGCCTCGGGGCCCCCTCGGACGTGCTTGCGCGGGCACGTGCCGACCAGCGCGCCCCCGGCCTCTGCGGGGAGTCTCGCGGGGATCCGGCGGCGAGCCCAAAGGGGGGGGGCGAGAGGGGGGCATCATACCAAAACGACGCGAAGATCGGGACAACATCGGAGCGGGATCACTCGAAATCTCTGAGAATCCGCGGGTTTGGAGGCTGTATTGGGCGCCGCGGCCGCTCCAGAGCGTTCCGGAGCGATCTGAGAGCGCTCCGGAACGCTCTGGAGCGATTTATCCCGATCCTAGCCCTGTTTTAACCTTCTCAGAAGGCGGCGGGGCTTCTCAGAAGCCCCCCGGGCCTTCTGAGAAAGTGTGACAGCCTTCTCCGCAGACAGTGGCGGCTTCTCCGAAGGCGCGGGGGCTTCTGAGGAGCTTCGCCGCCTTTGAGAAGGCATGCCCGCTCTCAGACCGCAGAGAATGTAATGTTTCTGCAGTTCCGTTCTCCTCTGCAGCCGGACCGAGGTAGAAGGTCGAGGTCGGTTCGGGGAGGGTACCCTAGTGTTCTTCCTGTTTGTTGGACGTTCTCGTACACACGGGGGGAGGGTACCCTAGGATGTTCTGTACGTTTTGGCCGGTGGAGGGTCTCACGTTCTTGCGGGCCAGCAGCGCCCAAGAGCGCCCGGAGCGCCCTGTATTCGGGGTTATGGGCCCCTCGCAGGGACCTGAGGACACTCCAACTTGGGCCTCAGGGCACGGATATGTTCTTCGTTGTCCTCTTGCCTTGGTGCTCCAAAAGCCATTGAGCGCCCACGATCCCGCCGCTTGGTGAACACGATAGTCGCGCTCCTGATTGATGCCTGAAGGCGTTGATTGTCCTTACCAACGCGAAATTGCTGTAGATTTTACGGTTGCCAATATCCGCCGCTTCCCCCGAGGAGCGGACAAGTTAGATGCTCTGGGTTGTCACGCATTGATACGGCGCGCGCGTGCCCACCATTTGGAGTGGTCTCGAGCAGAGCGGCGTCTCGAGCAAAGCGGCACCAGAGGCTGGCATTAGTTGACGTTGGCATCGCATTGTCAGCATCATCTCCGTTGCCTGTGGTTGCATCAGCACGGCCAGTATGTCCGATTTGACCATCTAGTCATCACCACAGGCACCATTATATCCAGGGTAATTTGCATCAGTGTCCCAGTCTTCATGGCACCATCGCCAGCAGAATCATCATTACGGTGATCAGC